GGGCAAAGCCCTCATGAAAGGATTAACTCATGCATGGATTAATAGATTAATGGGTTATCATGAGAAGGAAATGGGTGGCTTTATAAGAAGAGGAAGAGATACCTGGGCTAGCATGTCAACACACTCAACCTCATCACCAAATGATGTCCTACAAAGCCTCAGAAATCTTCAGAGAGCTCTCACCAGCAAAGAGGCTCTTATTAAATGTGGCCCCTTGACCTTGAACTTCTCAGCCTCCATAACTGTAAGAAATAAATTTATTTTCTTTATAAATTACCCAGCTTCAGTATTCTGTATAAGGAACAGAAAAGGGACTAATACACCTCTCTTTGTACATTTACCACATTGTATTATGATTATGTGTTTGCACATGTGACCTTCTGATGAGTCTGAAATTTTCCAAAAGAACAACTTTCCTTCCTCATCACCACATCTCCAGCAACAGAATATGGCACTTGGCAGGTGCTCAACAAATGCTAAAAGCAGGGATGAATGAATGACTGAATTTCGAGCAAACAAGTTAAACATGTGTTAGGAACTTAAGGTGTCATTCATATCCCTCCCCCTGAAATTCGGACAGATGCATCACACACATGAAGAATAGGGAAAAAATGTAGAAACAAAATAGTTTTATTAATCTGGGCAGGTATCTGGTACCCACAAAACAGAGCTATAGTAAAAGCTGGGATAGGGAACTCTGGAAGGCCTCCTGACTACTCTATACCTCTTCTTCTCAGTCTATGCCTATTTTATCCCCAATCTCTTAGGTGCTCTTACCACAAGAACCTGAGGAAATACTAAGCCAAAGTAGTCCCATACGTTCCAGAGAAAAGGGAATGAGGCAGACAGCAAGAATGAGCATGCGTGCCCCAATATGGAGTGCATCACTCATCTAAAGGACCTATCCTCACACAGCACCAGTTTCTGGGTCCACAACCACCAATGTGGTTTTTTTCTCAGAAAAGAGATTTTCTCCAAAATGTCTTGGATCCCTCCCTAGAGAGAAAAAAAAAATGTTTTGTCCGACGGAGCACCTCTAATCTATGGGGTATTAGAGAGTGCTCTAGATACTCTTACTATTCTATATAAGAAAACAAGCACTTTTTTCTAGATAAAATAATGTTTATTGCAATATCAACACACTTACAGAGATAAACTAGAAGTAACCATATTAGCAACCTAACACATCAATCCCTTCAGAGACCCTGGGCCCATACCTACCAGGATATAATATGTCCAACTCTTGTGAAGCTTGGGCTTGTCTGTCACATTAACTATCCCACTGCTATCAACACCACATCTGTGGCAAGCTGGATGCCCTGGAACATAAAAAGCCTCACTTTCCTGATGTTATTCCTAAACTAGACTCTAGGGGGTACCTGCAACAGAAACTGTCAGTTCCTGAAACTATAGCTGAAGTTCTCCCTAGATGGAATGATGTCCAAGTTGCATACAGAGAACTACGTTCTTCCCGTAAGAGTAGTTCTCTGTTAGATTCATATAACATCCTAATGGCTTTGGGAGACATTGATGATAAAATATCTACAGTTTTAGGAAGAGTATCTTATTTAGATGTCAGCCCCAACCCTCTTTTCATAAGACTGTGCTCAAGCAGGAGGAAAAAATTAATTTAAAAAAAAAAAGTAAAGAAAAGAAAAAGAAAGAAGCGTTTCCTTTCCCATCTGTGAGGAAACTAGTCCTCTTTGTCTCTTCTGATATGGCAAATGGGCAGCTGACCAAGCAAAACCTCCAGACCTCCCAATTTGAGGTTTTATTCCAAAGACTACAAAATTCATTGCTTAAAACTCATTTATTCACATATTTATTTATGTACTCCTTCTTTTATTAATCATTTTATCTTTGCTAGGTCCTGTGGCAAACACGTAAATGAGATACAGCTCCTACCCCAGAGGACTCCCATTATAGCTGGGCTGGTTGATCTAAATGAAAAGGGGACCTTGAGGTATGTTCTTCAAGAGGGCACAGAGTGCTGTGACAGTATTTTAGATGGAGAGCTTATTTCTCCTAGGGAAAGGGAGATGAGAGAAATAGAAATTGGGAAAGTCTTCACTGAGGACAAAAGTCCTTGAGTAAGTCCTTGAAAATGAGAAGGTAGGTGAGAAAGGACATCTAGGACTGAGAAAAAAAAAATGTGAAAAAAGACAAGGAAGCTTGAAAATGCTCTATGGAGCCTGCCAAGGGGACTGTCACTGAAGTTGCTGAAGCTTGTAGATGGGTCACAATGGTTACCTCTGAAGGTCACATGGGTCTCCACACAACTCTCTCCTACTTGATCTCTAAGAACCTTCCAGTTCTATATTCTTATGTTTCTGTCTGTTTGTCTTCTTAGTATCCTCAAGGTAAAACTGAGTAGACAGCAAATATTTAAACATATACAATTTCTAGTTCCTTTCTTCCCCATACACCAAGGTTATCAAACTTAGAAAGACAAAATGAATAAATCTGCAAGGGGTCTACCATAGTGTTCATTAATTCTTGGCCAAACTTCCCCAAGGCAATGGATTACTAGGGTTTTGTAACAGTACTTGATAGAAGTGCCTTTTTTTTTTTTTTTAAATAGAGACAAGGTTTCACTATGTTGGCCAGGCTAGCCTCGAACTCCTGACTTCAGGTGATCCACCCACCTCGGCCTCCCAAAGTGATGGGATTACAGGCGTGAGCCATCGCGCCCGGTGATAGAAGTGCTTTTTAAGATTCTCTTTATTGTTGCTGAGTGAGAGCTTTGATTTTGTTTGAAAAACATATGGTTCAACACATTTTCCCTTGAAATTCATTTAGACAAATTAAGAAAAAGGAATCTGCAAATCTCTGCAATCCATTTCACCAAATACCTTTAAGAAAAACGTGCAGGAGTTTTCCAAAGTCCTAAACAAGCACGGTTTTCCCTTCCTGCTATTAATAGAGGAATATCTTATTACAGTGCTGTAAACACAGCCAAACTGAAAAAAATGAATTTTAAATGACGTTAGGGTTTCCAAAGAAAACCACAAAACAAACTCAGAGTTAAGGCGATAATGCATCCCTGTTGTACCTTGGCACAGAAGCAAGCATTTTGCAGTGACCATCTGGGATATGTAACATAGTAATAAGTGTGAGGGCACCAACTCATAGAAAAGCCAAGAGGCAATGATTTTTTTTCCTGCCAACTGTGGTATATTGGAGTACGAATATATATATATATATATATATATATATATATATAGCCAGCAAACCAGCATTTCAGCTTTTACAAGATGTTCGGTTATACCAACAGTGTTCTTCACTGTTGTATCCCAAATGACTAAAATGATGCCAAGGAAATAGTCAATACTTAATATTTATTAATTTAATAAATACTGAAATTGCCAACTATTTCTTATGGTAATAAAATGTTTGTGATACTTTGGGATCCTTCTGTCTTTCTTTAAGATACTGAAGGAATCATTTATTTCTCCAAGAATATTCAGGTGTGTTGGGAAGAGGGGTAATTTATCAAGTACTATTAAATGTATACACCTAAAAAGTACCTTCGAAATATATTACTACTACTACTACTGCTGCTGCTACTACTACTACTACTAGGAATGTCAAAAGGCTGATTGAAAGAGCTTATCAAAATGCTTTGGTCCTCACACCAAAGACATAAACAACAAATTTTTTTTAAAAGTAGATAAATTGGATCTCTTCAAGATTAAAAGCTTCTGTGCTGCAAAAGACATCATCAATACAAGTAAAAGACAGCCCAAAGAATGGGAGAAAATATTTACAAATCATATATCTGATAAGAAGCTTATATCTACAATATATAAAGAATTATTACACCTCAATAATAAAAAGACAACCTGATTAAAGAATGGTCAAAGGATCTGTATAGATATTTCTCCAAAGAAGATATACAAATGGCCAATAAAGCACAGAAAAATATGTTCAATGTCATGAGTCATCAGGGAAATACAAATAAAAACAACAATGAGACATAACACCCACTAGGCTGGCTGTAATAAAAAAGGTTGATAATAACAACTGTCAGTGCAGATGTGGGGAAACTGAAACGCTCACACATCTCTGGTAAGTATGGGAAATGGTGCAAGTACTTTGGAAAACAGTCTGGTGGTTCCTCAAAAGGTGACCTCAGAACCTTCCAATTCCACTCTTAGATATATAGCCAAGAGAAATGAAAGTGTATGTATGTCTATACAATAACTTGTACAGAAATTTTTATAGCAGCATTATTCATAACAGCTAAAAAGTGGAAACAACCCAAGTGTCCATCAACTAACGAAGAGATAAACAATTGTGGTATATTGATACAACAAAATATTATTCAGCATTAAAAATGAAATATTGATACATGCCACAACATGAATGAACCTTGAAAATATTATGCTAAGTGAAAGAAGTCAGTGCCAAAGACCACGTATTATATAATTCCTTTGACATAGGTGCCCAGAACAGGCAAATCTATGAAGTCAGAAAGCATGTCAGTGGTTGTCTAGGACTTGGTGATAAGGAAGGAGTGGAGGGAAAAGGAAGGTGACTAATAATGGGCATGGAGTTTTTTTGCAGAGTGATAAAAATGTTCTAAAATTGATTGTGGTGATAGTTACACAACTCTGTGAACATATTAAAACCATTGAATTGTTCAATTTAAATAGATGAATTACATGGCATGTGAATTGTATCTCAATATAGGTGTTATTTAGAAAAATGTCTTGGTCTTTTTATTAAGTAATTGTAGTAACATAATTAATATGATTTTAAAATATGGACATAGGATGTGTGTGTTGATTCAGCCTTGTATAAACTCAGTGAATTGCAGAGTAATAAACTGCATCATATTATTGTATCTGAGTCTCAGTAGGAATAAAATCATTCAAAAAGACAAGTTCAAGTGTTTTCTTGAAGATTTAAATGTATTTTGAATGGACTTGGAATGATCTCCATATATTACAATAGACTGCCATACTTATTTCAAAACAAAATAATTTAATGCCATGTAATTAAGAGCATCACGAAAAGGAAATTTTATTAATATCTTTTACTATTCACTATAAAGTAGCAAATACGTTACTAAGTATAGCTTTCTTCTAATATTAAAATACTAAAATTTATCCTATAAAACTAAAGCACAGTTCCATTTAAAGGATAAATTCCACAAAATTCAACAAATCAAAAATAATACTGATAGTGTTATGTTCTTTGTAAAGCCATACAGTATATATATTCAAAAATAAACAGAATATATTCCAAAAGATACAATAGTTTTATAAAACTAGTTTCCCAATAGCAAGCTAAATATTTATATAATAGGACCATATGAATTAGAAACTAAAAGGAATAGTAACAATTATCATCCCAGCCATTCCTTTCACACATACCAAAACTGAGACATAAAGCAGCTAATTTTTTACCCAAAATCATGATTGAGAAATCCATAGTTTGAAACTAAGTTCTCTAATTCCCAAGGCAATGTTGTTCTCATCATACCAAAGTTCAATGAAAAGATAGCACATTATTTGAAAATCTATCAGCATGTAGAGGGATACTAAGTTTATATATCTGTTGAATGTTTGTATACTTGAATATATTTGTCGATTTCTAGCACTGATAATTTTTAAGGTTTGAGCTCCTAGAATGTTGTAATCATGTATGAGTACTTAACTGCTCACATATTTAACCTTACTCTCAACTTATCTGAGCATTTCTTTTTAGAAAGGATGAACAATGAGATTAAAACACAACATGGTAATAATTTAACACAATTAGTTCTTAAGGGAAAGCTTAGAAAAACCTTCATTTAGATGAGCCAATAAATTTCTCATGAGGAAATAACACTGTGTTACACTTTGCAACAAAGCATTCTTTACAAATCTCTCTAATTAGAGACAGCATCAGGGTAGCATCCAACAGCTCTACCAAGGCTCCTGAAAGAAGTTTATGAAATGATTATTTTTAATGCTCTGCACCAGGACTTCATGGGACACTGCAGAGTTTAGTTAGGGATCTCTCTTCTTGCACCTTCTCCTTCCCATACAAATCTTCCCAGAATTGTCCTGCTGCAAAAATTACTCTTTTTGTTCCTCCAAGTCAAACCTCCAGCTATCTCCAAAGCTGCTGTTTATTAATTTCACACTAAGGTGTGAGTTACTGGTAGGATTAGGTCTGGAGAGGTGATGAAGAGCTATTTACATTTTAAAAGTGAGGTTGCTTTTCCTCAGAATTTTGCTAATTGATGTAAAGAGTGAGTATGATCCTTCCTTATATAGGTTACGCTGTGCCCCAACCTCCTCTGGGGGCCACCAAGGATTCCTGACCCCCTACATTCCAGAAATCAAGGGTCAGCAACTGGGTGCCTCACTTGTGAAAAGCTGTTGACCTCTGGAAGGCAGCTTGTAAGGAAGCAAGTGTTAATTTTCAAAATGTGACCGGTCTTGATAGCAGCAACCTCACCCCATCACGATGTCCCTTGGAATGTTTACTAGTCAAGGGGCATAGAAGTAATCTGTCATCACTAGTCAGTGGTGCAAGCCACTCATTCTTGTAACCTTGCTTTTCTCCCCTGGACTCAAAACAAAACATACCACCCCATCCCTTTCCTCTCACATTCAAATTTTCATGTGTTCAACATTTGTCAGGGCCTTCACCTTCAATGACATGGTCAACACACCAAGAAATTATATTTAACACATGAAGAATGAACAGCAGGCCCATTTCTTTCTGCCATGTGATTGAGAGGTACAGAATTTGCATTTGGGGTATGCATGTGTGTGCTTATTCTAGAAACAATATTTTTAGACACTAAAATGATTACCCTCAAAAATCATAAAAGGGTTTAATAACACACTTTAATATAATTTTAAGTACTTTTTAATAAAATACAGATATATAACTATCCAGGTATGCATGTCATTTAATTCAGCAATAAAAGGCTAGTCTCTGAAGTGACATGGTGATTAATATTTACAGTAAAACCTAAAAAACAAACAGCATTTGTACAAGATTGCTAAAATTTTACCACAAAAAAAGGTTAATAAAAAATTATACTCATATTGTAGTATCATCTGAAATTATCAACAGCAAGAAGGAAAATGTTCTTATTAATACATATGGGTATAAAGCATTACTTTCCATGTTTTTTCAAGATGGGAAACTCTCTGTTCTTGAATTACACACTAAGCACTACGGCTGAGATGGACTCATTCTTAACGCCTTTCCCCAAATCTTTGTCAAGCTATTAATGCCATACCCAAACATCTTACATAGATCTACCTACTGCAAATATTTCATGTCCCTTCAAGCTAGTTTTAAATTTAAAAATTCAATACTAATTTGATGAACTGCTAAGGAATCCAAAAGGAAATTTGTTAGTATGTATAAACAGAATCACATCCTGTGCAATTTCAACAGTATATCCCCCTAAATATCTAACAAATTGTATTGTTTCAAAGTGAAACAGCAAATCAGGAGTTGTACCCTTTCCCCACCAAATCCAGGGATGAGTTAAAGCAATTCTGTTTAGCAATGAGAGGAAATCATGCTCTTTTGCTTAAGATATATGAAATGTAATGAATGGGTCAATGCACAGACATGTTATTTTACTTTCTCCTCAGAAGGGGAATGTGCCTCATCATGTATTCTTAGCCTTTTTCATTTATCTCATAATGTGCTCTCAAAGTTACTTGTTTTTAACTATTCAACCATGCATATATTATTTTAGGAATTAAAAACATTTAATACTGATTTTAATTTCTCCAGTTCTGAGGTTACAAATTCTGTTGAGGTTAAAAGTTTTATAGTTCCTTTATCATAATTAGTATCTTCCTCCTTAGTCCTCCAAGAGGGCCTTTATAGTAATGGGCTTTGGCCTTTGCACTATAGCTCCCAAAAGACAGATTGCTGGAGATAACCCACTGAAATTCCTCACCACGTTATTTAACACCATACAGGCTTAGGAACTATCTGTTTTGGCAAAGACGCAGGCAGACGGACAAGGTTAAGGAGGGGGAAAGGATTGAACGTGTAGAATTACAAGATATAAATAAGTAGCATAAATGCATTTTTTACTTATATACTATGGGTCAGGAAGCTCAAACTATACAAAAACATAATGTATAGTTAACAAGAGTATTACTCTTGATTTAAAAGATAGACATTTCTCATTGGAATCAATGAATTTGAGGTGGATTTATTTTCCTTTTGCCATTCCATTCATATCACATATTCCTCTCCTGGTGAAAATTGGAATTTAAAAATGGTTATAGAACATTCTTTAACGGTCTATTTGATAATTAAAATAAGCAAGAAATAAAAAATACTGGAAATTTGTTCTCTACAGATGAATAAGAACCTCTTATGTGCCCAATGCAAAGTCAAAAAAATAATCATAAGCCTCTCCTTTACCTTCCTTAAGAAAATAACAATTATTATGGGTTATGATTTTTTATAGACCCAAGGTCATATGGTATCTGTGGTAAATAAGAATAAGCAGGAGTGAAAAAGTTGATTACAAATACCTCAGAACTAACACTAAGACTTCAACTGGCTTTTGTATTTTAGATTCTCACACTGTGTCCAAGAATAACAGAAATCACAAGACTCTACATGCTGGTTACTATTGGTTATCAACACGTCAAGTATGAAACCGTTTAGAGCATTTTTCTGATAAAATTAAGTTATAAGTGTTCATCTGGATAGTATCATTGCCAAGTTTTAAGTTTACCATCTTGTTTTTAAAAGAGTCTGAGAACTTTGCTTAAATATACTACACACATGCCAATACTCTGTGCAACTGGATGAAGCAGGGGAACAATAGGGGCTGTGATACTCCATGTGCTATGTATATACAGCATACATATATACCATAGATAATTACAATCTCACCATGATAAAGTCAAAAAACCCAGTGAGCCTTCATTTTCTATTATATGTACATTTTATAAACTACAGAGAGTTTCCACATAGCTTTTAAAAAAGAAAAAGAAAATACATTAGACAGATTCAAATGTCATTTAACTTAAAGGCTTCATCAGACCATATGTGCAGATACTTGAGATGATGACAGAGTTAAGCTTCCTAGGGTCCTAGAGTCAAAGAAACTCTGCTGACCCCCACTGCTAAGCAGGTGCACTCCTTCCACAGGGGGCAACATCTGCCGATCCGTCATGGTCCCACTCGGTGAGGACCCCAAGAAGCTTCCTTGGGAAGAAACAATTTTCTCAGGACTGGCAGCCAGTTTGGGGGATGTGGAGAAGTTATATCCATACAGTGCACAGGGGCTGTGTAATCTGAAAGTATTATAGGAACCCTGATGGGTCTGGTTAGTGGCGAAGGCGTTGCTGGAGGGTGATGGCATGATATACTGGAGCTGGGGGGACATTCCTGAAATCTGCATAGATAAGCTGGTCTGTGGGCAGCTGAAGGTGTCCCCGTCAGTGCCACCCATGGACATGTTCACGGAGGTGCTGCTGCTCACGCCCACATAGGAGGGAGTCCTGGGTGGGGCGAAGGTCTCACCAGCCTGATTGGTGAGCCTGTTGTAGGTCTCGGCCAAAGATGTGCTGTATCGGTTGAGGGTGAGGCCCGAGCGGGCACAGGCAGAATAGTCAGCAGGGGCCAGACTACATAGCTGGCTGGTGTTGGGCCCCAGATGGAAGGCAGGAGAGGAGCAAGAGGAGCCAGACAAAAGGTGAGGGTGAGTGGCAGGAACGCCATTCCCAGTACCTTGGAGCAAGGTGGAGGAACTTGCATTGCCTACAAAAGAAGTTGAAATGTAAAGAATGACTCCACAGTCATCCTTTCCTTCAATTTTGTAAATATGAGCTAGACACAGCTTGTTACAAGGCAAGGGTTGGGGGGAATGCTACAGAGATGAAAAGGAGATGGTCTCAGCTTTCAAGGAATTATCTGGTTGAAAAATCTCATTTCCAATTAGAAAACAAGTTGTTGAATCACATGCTAATACAAGAGCAGAGGTCCAACGAACAAACAGTCCTGTGAAACTCAGAGAGGGTAGTTAACCCTGTGTCCAATCAATGGCAGCGATGGTGCCCCCTCTGGATCTGCTGGCAGACTGATGTTTGCAAACTTGACAGAACTTAAGGGGAGAGGAGAATTCCAAAGGGCTGGACAGGTTGTAAAACCTTCATTGCTCTGGTGATGGTGTTTTGCACAGTGTCTCAAAATAATCCAAAAGCCCAGTCCAATCAATGATTATCTGAAACCCAGCACAGTAAATTCTCACTGGAAGCTGGGCAGGATGGTGGTAAAAAGCCTAAATGTAGGAGTGAGCTGAGAGTGTTACCTATGGAGCAGACCAGAGAGGAAGCAACATCGCTTTCCATGCAGTTCCCTCTGAGGAGAAATCAGCCCTGGGCTGCTGAGAAATATTCAAAGATGAGCCCAGGAGAATCTGCCTGAATGTGCCTGACCTTCTCATCATTAACCCAACAGGAGAACCCTGCCCAGAGGCAATTCTGCTGAAGAAAGAAAACAAACAAGATGTGAAGAAAGGGTGGAGTGGGGGCACCATCAAAAATTTCTTGTGAAGAGCACCTGGCATGAGAGCACCTCTAATTTTAATATGAGATTTAAGGATGAGGTAAAGGTCATGAAATATATAAACAGCCTAAGACATCTAAGATTTAATCTGTGACCAAGAGAGCCATTTTTTCCTGATCCATCCCTATACCATGCAGAAGACAGGTGGAATCTGTAGGACAATGTTGGTGATGAGGTCATTATTGTAAGTATAAATAACGACTTGTACACTTTTAGTGCCCGAGTTTCTAGGCAGGAATGGGCTGTATATATGACCCAGGAGACTTTGTGAGTTACCTTGCTTGGGAATTCCAGGGATATCTTCAAAGGTCAGAGTCCGTAGTGATGGTCTCCAGAATGCATATGATTCCACCAAGGCTTCCAAACCCATTCTAAATGGAAGGGGTCAGGATAGGGGTGGACAAAAGAAGTCTAGTTAGGAGCATTTGGAGCTTTCACCAGCAGCAAGCATCTCAAAACAACACTGGTATTGACAGTACCCCCACATTGTCAGGTTAGGAGCTTGCATTGGCAAGAAGAAATGCTTCAGCAATGGGCTAACATTTCTGTTACCAGCAGCAGGAGAGAACTGAAACCACCCACCTAAGTTGCCTGTTAATGTTCTCTGGAAAACTCAGCTGACCTAAGGGGTGAAAAGCTGTTCCCTTGGGCTAAGAAGCTGAGGTGAAGAGAGACCATTCTGGCTGCTGTGAGTCCAAGGCTCTGCTGTGATCTGGCACACACCCTCTCTCCTTGTCCTGTTACTTCTCCCTCTAAGTGAGGAAGGCATTGCCACGAAAGCACATTCCTGGAAAACCAGCTCTTTTCTAAGAGGCATTACTGCCCATCATTTGATGCCTCGGCAGCCAGTTCAGGGGAGCACTTGTCCAAAGAAGATTGATTGACTTCTTTCTCAGGAGCACAATCTCTACCAAACCCAGTGTAGCCAGGCTGGGCTCCCACCAGCAACAGGAGGGCCATGAAGAGAGGGCACTGGCCTATCCCTGCAGTGTTGGAGGAGAGCAGGAAGGTGACCTCACATGGCTATCTGGTATATGGAGTTACTATTAAATCACAAATTATTTTAAAGCCCTGAAATACACTTAATGAATGGATACTTAAAGAGACAGGATAAGTTTGATATAGGCTATTTACATGACATATGTATATTTTAAAACAAGGGCAACTACTCTAAATACATATATCAACCATCTCCTACCATGAATGATTCAGAGACTTCCCTTCTGTATATCAAGTGACTAAGTCCTCTGGGTTCTGGGAACGAGGCCATTCACTCAACTAGATCATTCTCAAGACAGCCACACCTGAGACCTCATCGCTCTTCCTTCAACCACCTCAGCCCTAAGTAATTTGTTGATCTAGATAACATTATACTTTTCATGAAACCTGTAGCTCTACTGTAGAAAATACTTGCTTCCTGGGATGTCCAATAATAGACATCTCCTGTGATTTCAGGTATCTTTAATAGTTTGACTCAAGGTGCTACCACCTCTGGAGTCCCTGCACCCCAAGTCATAACCTGCAAACTAAGACTAGAGTAATCCACCCCAGAGAGTCATACCACATGCACAATATGGCGAAAGCTCTCTAAACACCAAAGGTAAGTGACTTGTGCTGTTAAAATTATCTTACACTACTTATCCATCTGTTCCAAGGCTTCACACACAGACTTTGCTTCCTTAGAGTGTTCAGGGTATAGTCTCTGTTAATTGATTTCTGTACTCACTCTGGAGGAATATGCCTACCCCATCTTAGTGATATAATGATGTATTTATGCATATGTGGAGGGGTGGTGTGTATACATGCACAGACTTGCATGCATGAACACACCTCATGAGGCTGCACATAAGCCTGACTCATCTCTTAAGTCACAGGCTCTGGGGGTGCAGCTCTGGGAGCACTTCAAAGAGATATCTGCAGCCCCAGAGGGGATAGTGCAGGACTGCCAAAGAAAAGAGCAGAGCACAGAGGGGACCTGCACCTGCTCCACCTGGCCTACCCTGAGAGAGAACAGAATCTGGCTTCTGATGTAATCAATGTGCCACAGAGACAGAATTATTTAGTGGTAAGGATACTAGACTGGGGTCACAGGGACTGGGCTGGCACTGCAACTCACTTAAACTCATTGTCTGACCTTAAGTAAATTTGCTAATCTCCCTGGACTTAAGTTTCTCACAAAGAGAGGATGAGATTACAAAAGCTCTGAAACCCTTATTAATCCTAACACTGTTTCATTCTAAGTGATTTTTCTTCCAAACCACTCATCATATCTGTGACCAAACTACAAGCCAAATCCAAGTTCATGCCACTTGATAGTATTTTCTGTACTAGTGTATTGATTTCTGGGCAGTTTGGCAGACGTGGTCAGTTCCAAACCCCATGTTGCCTGTGGGTGTGTTTAATACTGGACTAATGAATTCTGGGTCCTGTTTAGAATATCACCCTCTATTCGGTTTATACCAATACTAAATTTTGTGACTTTCTAGAAATACAACTATTTTAAATGCAAAAGAATGTTAAGACACAGCTTAATATAAAACAGCTTATTATTATCACATAGATGAGTTTGAGTAATTGTAGTTTTAAATATTAAAAATACTAAAGTGATTATAGAGCAGTCTTGAGGGAAGTTTACTAAGATAATTAACAAGCAACCACTGGACTTAGAAACTGAGTACAGAGATGTATCTTACTGCATTATTTGCTTTAGCAGTGTAAACTTTATTACGATTCAAATACAAATCCATAAACTAAATTCTTAGGGAGAAGTTATTGATCATCACAAATATATAACCCTAAGCTTTAAAGAGATGCTCTGAAGGTGACATATCTACAAGTGATCTGATTTGGAGCAATCGATAATTTTCTTAAGGCTGCTGTTTCACACTGCAAGTTCCAGAAAGGATTTTAGATATTTTGCAGGAAACAGTTATAAAATATTTATTAGCTGAATCTGGACATTTTTTAAAAAGCCTTCATTTTCTCCAGTAATGGAGACCTTTCCTGGCTAGTTAAAGAAAAGATAAAAGGCACCTCCTGCAGGAGTGCAGCCAAGGCGATAATTTATACAAGATGCCTTTGAACAATTTCCACATTTTATCACCACCCTAATTTCTGCTATCAAATGGCCAAGTTTATTTAGTAAAATGGTTATGTTTTTCCTGAAGTATTTAAAGAGAAGAAATTTTTGTACCTTCCTGAGTAAAAAATTTTATAGGGTCAAACCTAAGGCCTAACTGAAGAATGAAACTATTCTCAGCACATAAATTCTCTCTCACATAGCAAATGTCTTGCAGGAGAGCTTTTAAGGGCCGAAGCTACTGATTCCTGTAAAATAGGCTGAGGAGTCATAAATAGCCAGAAAAGGATAATTTTTAATTAAGGCAAATTGTTTTATAAAGTTTAAACAATCCCAAGTCTATGTTTATTTCTTGTCCTGGTCAATTTGCATATTTCATGTACAGGGTGGGGAAAATAAAAATAGAATTTGTTTTAAGAAAAACACTAACAACAGCACAATAGAACTAGGGGTAATAAAGAAATATGTTAAACTTTTTCTCATAGCCTTACTTCTCTACTACTATATTTTAAAAATCATGCCCCTTCATGCCCATGCTCCCCAAACAACTGTGCCCTCCACCAAGTCTTACATATAACTTGGTCTCTTTTTTTAAAAGAAACTAATACATAAGTTAGAAATGTTCGCTTATGTAATTCAGGTGACTGAATTATCTCTTCTCCCAATGTGTCTTTTGCATTTGTCAATGGGAAAGGTTACAATGAGATTTTTAAATAGAAGAATAATGATTTATAGATAGTTAGCATTCCAAAGTGAGAAGTATTAGTAAATAGCTTGTCTATAGTAAGCAAGAGAGTTTCAACAAGGAAAAAAGTTGAAACTTTATTTCACTAGTAAGAAAGTCATATATAGGCTCAATGTGCTTTTCATGTAATATAATATTGTTTAAACACTTGGAACAAAATAAAAATTTTAAATTTTAACAAAATTTTAAAAGCATTAAAACATAATTCACTGTCTTCTATATGTTCCTCCAAAATTTTTAAAGTTTTAGAGTCAGGGAAGAAATAGTAACAAGCACCATGGATGTCATGCCTACATACTCCTGAAATAGCCAAAGGGATAGAAGAATCCATATCAAAGCTAGCATTTTGAACTCACCATATCAAACAATAGGCCAAGTAATTTATATTCAACAACACCACTGTCTTTTTCACTGACCAAATTTAAGTAACCAAATGTATTTTCATGATGCTGAATATCTAGAATTCTTCCTGAAAACTTGTCATATGCATCTATCATCTCCCTTCTTGTAGAGGTTTGTTCACTATTATCTGTTCAAAATATACTTCAAAAAATATTTTATATTTATTCCTTCAAAAATGAACTGACTATATACAAGCATGTGACCCCTGAGTCAGTAGCAGTGAAGTCTTTGCTAGAGCAATTGATAGCTTGGATATAGTTGCTGGTTGTATATTCTTCAAGCCTGAATATTTCTCTCCTGTAAATTCCTTTTCTGCTTAAGAAAAAAACTAAAAGTAATACAAGACTCTTAAATGGACAAATACTATTCTGCTGTAACAAAAATCACAAAATAATTCCATCAAAGCATTTGCCAAGGTAGAACAGAAATCATCCCAAAGGTTCTCTCCAGTCACCTCATTAAGTAGCCATTTCCAGTTATTAAATGATGGTTCAATTTACATTTAATTTTCAGAAACACCTCTGAAAAACAAGGTTAACCAGGAGCTAATGTAATAAAACAAAAGCCAAGCAATTTTTTTCTCTACATTGAAACAGACATCCAAAAAACAAAATAATTTCAATATAGCAGACGACTTTCATGTGTTAGGAATATCTGCAAACTTTCCTACAGAGTGAAAAATTTCAGAGGGAAGCCCTGCTATTAGTCTTCCTGATCTGCCTGCACTAAGTTGAAAGCTACTCTACTCTCAGTGCATTTTAGCTGCATTTCAGTTCTTGTGTTGCATGGTGTTTCAATGATGCCACTGCATATAAAAATGACATCACGTCTCTGCAAGCACTTGAGTGTATTCTGAGGAAAGGTCTCTGTCACCCATCTTGTCCAATTAATCAACTGAAAGAACTAAGAATGGCTTGTTTTCCCTCTAAAATTTCAGAAGAAACTGTCTCTAAAATAATTGGGGTTTTCAAGAAGTATTAGAATAATTTCAAGAGTAAAGTCATAAAGATTGTTCAAATACTTCTTTTTTAAAACAAGTTGCTTTTAAAAACATTTAAGCAGAAGCCTTACGCTGAAAAGGCATTTGTAGAAGTGTAGTCTCTTATTACTCTCTATTACTACTTACTAACAGTTGCTTTAGAAAATGTTGTACTGAACTATATTGGAGTAGAGTCATATCAATAAATTCAAAAACCCTTTGGCACATAGACCAGGTGATCTGCTTTTTGATAAAAGTAATAGAGTGGAATTCATTATTGTGGCTCTACCACTTAGTACAAACACCACAAAACGTGAAACAGAAAAAATAAACAAGTGTGTGGCTGTCAGCAGAGCCAAGACAACTTTGGAAACTAAAGAACATCAGCTCTCTTGGCAATGGAGAGTAGTTTCATATTCCAGCTGGAAATATGACTTAATGAAAGACCCTATCATACTCCACAGACAATATCAACAGATAGTTGCATCATCACCAAAGAAATTCTAAACCAATAGTAGAGGCAGAGAGGATATTTAATTGGGATACTGAAGCTTCCGTGCCTGTAAGGGCAGGCTTCTTCAAGGCCCCTTCAGAAACAGCACGCACTGTACACCCTGAGAGCTTCCATTTTCAGCTCAGCAGCACACATGAACATTCACCTTAGGGTAGGTCACACCGTTACACTACAAAAATAAGTCATCTCCGCGGCACAATGGTCCTCATCAGAAATGATTTCTTTTTTTTTTTTTTCTTTTTTTTTTTTTTTTGAGACGGAGTCTCGCTCTGTCGCCCAGGCTGGAGTGCAGTGGCCGAATCTCAGCTCACTGCAAGCTCCGCCTCCCAGGTTCACGCCATTCTCCTGCCTCAGCCTCCTGAGTTGCTGGGACTACAGGCGCCCGCCACCTCGCCTGGCTAGCTTTTTGTATTTTTTAGTGGAGACGGGGTTTCACCATGTTAGCCCATGTTGGGATGGTCTCGATCTCCTGACCTCGTGATCCGCCCGTCTCGGCCTCCCAAAGTGCTGGGATTACAGGCTTGAGCCACCGCGCCCGGCCCAGAAATGATTTCAATATCGTATTAGTAAATTTAGCCATTTACTCTGTAATAGAAAATTCATAATAAAATATCAAGTATATTTATCACAACCAGAATGGTCTTCACTGAGACCCACCTGTTGCGCCCAGAGTCTCGGAAGCCTTTAGCAAATGGATTCCTATCTATCTTCAGGCGAGTAATCTGCAGAGTAGAAAAAATATATATCAAATCTTATATAAATGTCAAGCAAGGTTTTTACTTGGTTGCAAAACTACAATGACTAAAAAATTAACTGTTAGAGGACTCTATTGTATACCCCTCTTTTATTCCCCAAGTATTTTAATATCCTAGCAGTAAAGCTAAGGAAAATTTCAGAAATCATCTAAAAAATTGATCTGCTCTAAAAAAGATACTTCACTCCTTTTCAATCTGCATTAATAGATATGTTAGTTTTGTTTTTTAATATTCCTGGAAAAGGAGATTCTGAATCATCTGTTGGTAACTTGCCCTATAACTGACAATTCCCTCTCCCAATTGAAGTTCTTCCCTTTAACTCTGAGATGTGGTTTAATCCTGTTTCTCTCTCAATAAAGGTAATGAGGAATAACTAGTATCCAACTTCTATTTAACAGCCATTGAAATGTTGTTAAGCTTCTACACAGCTTTCTCTTCTTCAAAATTAGGTAATAATATGCACACTCCTTTAATTTTCTGCCTCCGTATTTTTGTCTCTCCTTTAATATTCTTTGTAGCTCTTATCTGAAAGTTTTATTATTTTATCTATGGAGTCCTAACCTGGTCAGAGCACTACAGTGAATGTCTAAACAGAGGTAACCACTACTTGAAGGTTCTAATGACATCAAATCTCATACTGAATGGAGTAAAAATAAATGATGCTTTCATTTTAACTTTCTTTCAAAATAAATTGTATTGTGTTATACTGAGGTACACAACATACTGTGAGATATGCATAGGTAGTGAAATGGTTCCTATATATGACGTTTTAGTTTTAACAAGAGTTCTAATTTGTTGACTCATAACCAGCTTTTTGCCCACTAAGACACCACGATTTAGGGGGAAAATTTTTACAAATGGTTTAATCATCTCCATTAATAGTTTTTTTTTAGTTATGACATCCTGAACTTGACACTAATAAATACCATCCCATCTGCGTATTACCAGATCTCTACTTTGCCCAGAGGAATTTACAGCCTATTTTCTAAGAGACACATCATGTTTTGGCTTCTAAATTCCTGGGCTTAATGAACTCTACAAAGTTAATGAACATACTTCTAATTGCACCATCTTGGCTAAGTACAAAAACTGTTGGATAAAAGTCATCTGCAGTCCCCCTACATTGCCTGTGCATACTCTCCATTCGGCCACGCAACACTTAAGACATATGTGATCCATATGATGTTATATTAGTATGTGGATAAAACTACATTATAAATGATATAATGAAAAGGTTTGCTAATTAAGTCATCATGTCTGCCACTCTGTCATTGAAACAATTCTTCTTTACAGATCAATACAGCTCAATTTTCTGTTTATTTTAATAATGTTTAAAAATCATTAAGTAATGTAAATGTTCATTTAAAATATTGGTTTTTAAAAAGTACAGATTTATATAATGGTGCCTTGTTAAAACAGAGATATAACACAATTGCTGCTATCATCATTTTTATTACTAACATATGTATTGAGTGCATAAAATGTACACTGTGCTTAGTTTTATGCATACTACTCATTTAATTACTAGAGCAACTTATATATAGCTATTATCTCAGTTTTGTGTTTTATTTTAAACTGAAGCTTAAGTAAGCCAGGACCACAGGCTGCAGAGCTCATGCTATTAACCACTAATCTGCTTACAATGTTCCGTTAAGTTCTTAAAAATAGTAGCCAGGAAACTAAAAAGTAAATATGATTGCATGTTATCATTATCAATTTCCCCTCTAATCTGTCCATCATCTTAATCAACTTCTCAATGTTAATTAATTTGTGTTAGTCACAACATGTGCCAAAACTGCACTTACTGTACCACTGAGGGTGGAAGAAAATATAGAAAGAGCACAGTTAATTTGTGTGTGAGAGAGAGACAAAAAAAGAGGAAGAGAGACAGAAAAAGAGACGACGAATTGAGATTGTTAAAAGAATACTAAACGCCTCTGCTATTTTCTCATGTGTTACTTTTTCCCCCAAAAAATCATTTTCTGTCCCTCATATATTTTAATATATAAAATATATAATTATATCTCATATAATGTACTAAATGTAATTATATTAAGCATATTATAATTATATAATATATTATTGTATAGTGTATTATACAATTTATGTATTTATATAGATATTTATTTTAATATATTTATTATATTAAATACATTACATATGTTACATATAACACATTAAATATGCTATATTAAATCTATTATGCTTGCTTCAGCAGCACATATACTAAAATTGAAACCAAACAGAGAAGATTAGCATGGTCCCTGTATAAAGATGATACACAAATTCATGAAGCATTCTATAAATATATATAAAATATTGAATATATTTCAACATATTATTAAATATATTACATTAAATATATTTTACATATTTTTGAATATACTAATATATCTGATAATCTAGTAGATATATTAATGTATTAATAAATATGCATTACATATATTTTAATATATTATTAAATATATTATCTATGGACCTTTAAAAAATAACATTTCATGTTCCTTCCTAAAAGCTTATAAAAGAGTGGCAACATGAGTGTGAGAGGACAGGACAGCTTCGGTTGTGAGACTGATGTCTCCATACGGATAAGAGCCATTGAGCTTCTCAGCCCAAAGAACACATGGGATAGGATCTAAATCTTCTAAGAAGCTTTATAACAACAGAAACCACAACAGAGAGATTTAAAAGCCTTAAATTTGTAATTGAAATGTATATAAATGTAAAGAGAAATGGAGACCTAAAACAATTCTGCTGACCACTGAAATTAAAGGAAAAAAAACAAAATCTACCACAGGCCACATTGGCTTATATTACATGGATATTTCTTATGAAAACCAGCTGGAATTCCAGCATGGATTACATATTGCCTCTGATTCAATTCTCCACCTAACTGACCCATATAAACATAGCCTTAGAGAAATATATACGTTTACCCATATAGAAAGGGAATATTTCACTTCTCAAACTATTTCTAACTTTATGAAATTATTATTCCACCATTGCTGATCTCTCAGACTATAAGCATGTTTATCATCTTCTATCACAATTAAAGCATATCTTGAAAGAAATAGCCCTTTGGATATGTACCAAAATGACTATACAGGATGTTTCTGAAATATTTTTAGAATATAGTTTAAAAATAAAGTGAGCTATCAAGTCACATGCTCTATGATACAATTCATTTTTAATATTTTACATGTCTATTTTTTAGGCAATAAAAATACATTCTAATTTTAATTATGATATCATAATTCAATAGCTCAAAACGGAAAGTAAACCTACACTGTCGGTCATGAGACATGGTTTGTCTAAAGAAGTCAACATTAGAGCAGCCTTACTTGGAAAATCATGGATAAAGAACTGTTATTCACATATATACACTTTGAATGTCATATATGGCAAATGCTTTATGCTAATTCATAACATTTAGAGTGAGAAGGATACCTAACTTCCTCTCTTCACCCAAAATGAAAAGTCCACAAAGATACCAATTCTGAGAACAATACCTGCTGATTCTGATAGGCAGTGACGGTTGTGAAGACAGTTTCTGGAAAGGAGAATGCCTTTACTCCCTCCCCGGATGGAACAGGCTTGATGGGAGAAAGATCGTCTCCACAGTCTTTACGGATGACGTGCACTCGTGGTTGGTATTTGTGCATAGAATGAAGAATAATCTGTATCAAAGAAGGAAAAGCCAAATTTATCAGGAGCCTCTGCCCAATCTCAACACCATGACAAAATATTTAATGTGTACAACCAATTCTGATTGGAAAGGTGTCAATTTAATAAGATATATCAGAACTGGAGAAGGAAGGATGCAGAGGTGTCAATTTAATAAGATATATCAGAACTGGAGAAGGAAGGCTAAGAAGTTATTTGTAAAATGTACATAAAAATACAAAATAAAAAGCACTATTTTAGTGAAACCCTGTGTACAACCATGTGAACTTAACATCAAATTTTCTGTTGCTAAAAACACAGGAATAAATTAATAAGCATTTTATTTATAATGACCCCAATGGAGCACAGAGTCCAAACCAATAAAACTACAAACGAGACTGAAATCATCATTTAAATTGTACCACACCCATCCCCTAAAAGATAAGTATTCCCAGACAAGGGAATACTTTTTTTTTCAGAGGAAATGTTTCCCCAATTCGTGACTACATATGTCTATTCAAGGGCAAAGGGAATTTTAAGGACACTCCAGCATCTGTTTTTTGTGTGGCTCACAAAGTTTCTAGTTTGCTAGGAGCGCCCAGTGTCTGTGCCTCTATCACAATGAGGCTTCCATTACTCAGACTGCAGAGAACAGAAAAGCTGGCCCTCTCAGATGCTGCTGGGGAAATCTGATAATATGGTTTAACTACCTTCTATCCAATGATTCCACATCGGAGAATTTATCCTAAGGAAGTATTACAAATTCAGAAAAGCTTTTCATGTACAAAGATGGGTATCACATTATTTATAACAGTAGAAAAATTATAAGCCATTTACATATCCAACATGAGTAAATTACTTAGGTGAATGAAATCCACACAATGAAATACAGCATTATTTTGTTTTACCATGTAATAAAATACTTTTAAAATCTTAAATTTAAAAAAATGACCTAAATTGTTTATAAGCTTGTTACAACTACATAAAAATAGAGTAAAAATGACCCATAGAAAGATATGAACAGTGATTGCTCTGGATGATGGAATTGTGAGTGAATTTTTTCTTCTTTATATATTCTATGCTTTCAAGGCTGATGGGGTAGGGTGAAGAAACAGCTTCATCCAATGGGATTTTCTGTTTGCTGCTGGGATTCCATATTCAGGTATTCATTAAGGAGTTTCCTTAAGAAACCTGTATCTTTCCTGAGCTATAAGATTTGAATTCAATTTCTGAGCCATTATGAATTTATAGAACAAAGGTTCACAGAAAACTCTTAGGGAAATGCAGTGGTTGGCCTGCCTTGTGTTTAGGATGTGGGCAGTTTAATAAGACACATTCAGAATATTTGGTCAGCCCAAACACAGATTTTCCTATATCTGGAAAGTGTGTTTGCTGCCACAAGAAGATTCTTTACTTTCTGGCAGCAACCAGCACTGTGGCCAAGATTTTTTTTTTTAACCCTGCAGTTTTCCTTCTGTCCGTGAAAGAAATGCCTAGATAGCACATGATCATGCCGACCAGACACACTAAAGGAGGAAGCATGAGTGTGAGGAAAGGACAACAGGGAAAATAACCCTCACCATCACCTGGAGACACATGCAAATCTGCAATCTCAGGAAAATTCTCTTTCTAGAATTCCAGAAATTCTGGAAATTTCTCTTTGCTCTATGTAAAGGGAAGAATTTTAATGATCTATTAGTGACTTACGAAATCAACATAAAGGGTTGCAACAAGAAATTTTTTTAATAAATAAAGGTACAAAATAAAGTAGAAAATAAAATGTATATCTTGATGTGTGTAAAAACACAGAAGCAACATTTAATTATAATGGTTCTAGTGATCAGCACACTCTAAACAGATTTTTAGTGAATATAGAATATTTTTATTCTCATTTCTTTTGTATATTACCTGAGTAATATGTTCACTAATCCTCATTTAAAAAGGTATAATCGGCCAGGCATGGTGGCTCATGCCTGTAATCCCAGCACTTTGGGAGGCTGAGGTAGGTGGATCACGAGGTCAAGAAATCGAGACGATCCTGGCCAACATGGTGAAACTCTGTCTCTATTAAAACTACAAAAAATTAGCTGGGCGTGGTGGCATGTGCATGTAGTCCCAGCTACTTGGGAAGCTGAGGCAGGAGGATTGTTTGAACCTGGGAGGCAGAGGTTGCAGTGAGCCGAGATAGCGCCACTGCACTCCAGTCTGAAGACAGAGCGAGATTCCATCTCAAAAAAAAAAAAAAAAGGTATAATCTAAATCTAAATTTATGTTCTTGGAAGCATAATATCTCAGCAGGGTTGAAAGGTATCTTGCAGACATGTGGACCCAGTAGATATTATTTTTCACAACTATATTAGGAAAAAGGAGTAGGCAAGATGGATTCTAAGGTCTGTTTACCGCCCTCTAATTAGAGGTGCCTCCCTTCCCTGTTTGATATGCAGGGTTCTATGTGACATTACCTTAGATATATTTAAGTCTGAAAAAACTGACATTAATACTCCAATTTATAGATAGAAAACTAAGGTCTGCATTAGCAAGAGACTTCTGAATCCTCAAGGCTGAACCTGGAAGCTGGGTCCCCTGGCCCATGGCTCGTCCTCTCACCACCACATTCATGTGCATTCATTATGAATTCATATTTTGTGGGCAGGCATCATCACAGGGCCAGGCCCAGCAAAGGAAACTCAAAAAAGGGTCTCAGCCTATAGAAGCAGTTAATTAAGCCCCATCTGGTGTCTCATCAGTTAACGTACCTTTTAACATACTCTTTTAATATAAATATAAAACAGCAAATGACCAATCATGTCATAGCAACCATTAATGTTAACTCTGCTTTCCCTCTCCCTCTTTATTTCTTAATTAATTTATCTCATTAGAAAGTGATATTCACTTGATATTTTGGGGAGCAGCGGAGTTTAAGGGAGAACTCTTCCTCTTCTCCAAGCTAAGAAACAAAATGCCACTGATAAGCAAACAACAAGGGACAAAACAATGACATTTATAAACTCCCAGGGAGAATTAGCATATCTTTTAGAAACAAATTTCTAAGCAGAAGAAAAACTGGAGAAAAGTTACTTTACATTAAACAAACAAAAATAAATGCATAGCCAATTTCAGAAGATTGGACTGAGTTGTAATTACAGAAACAAAGATTCATTTGGGTTTCTTTTTACTAGTCAATGAAAAGCAGGTTCTTGTTTTATGAGGACTGTTCTCTCTAGCAGATTTCTCCATATAGTTATAAATATTTTAAAGTTACTTTTCAAAATATCCTTACCATATTTCAAAAAAGACTTCAAGTGGGGTATATTGGAGTAGGATACATAAATGGCTGATGTATGTCTTGTTTCCATGTTAAGGAGCAACTATCAATAGTAATCTGAAGATTGCTCAAGAAAAATAATATGCATTCAGTATTATCTATAAGAATTTTGTGTATCCCTGGAATTTTTTAGATACGGAGAAACAAGCCTCAGTTCTTCTTTGTACGATAGCATTAGATGCTTTTTAATGTCTCATGTGGTCCTAGGTCCAGTTAAAGCACTGCAAGGATTTGATTCCTGCAATCATTTTGTGCTAGATGAATAAAAGTCCCAGGTCTATATGGAGTTCTCAAGTCACTATGCTGCACAGTTGCACAGATTTGGCAGAGTAAAAGTAGGAATTGAGAAGAGAAACAAAAGCAATTTAGAAAGCAAGCTAGGAAATCACCTCTCATTTGAGTCTACAGCTTTACTAATTAGAAATCAGTGTTAACTTCTTTTGGAATTGGGGGCTCTGGGGTGGGCAGGGGCACAGGGATGAACTATTTGATTAACTATCAAACTTATAATCATGAATGCTCAACAAAATTTTGCTTATTTAATAGAGCAAATAGAACCAGGAGAACCACTGGTCTTATAAACAAGAAGACCACAATGATATGATGCCCATCTCCAAAACACAAATAATTCTATGTGATGTGCAATGTTCAGTGCTCTCTGATCTGTTCAGAAGGATTATTTTCTCTTGGGTTTAGCTAGTATTACAGTCACACAAGTCCATAAATACAAACTGCATTCACAGTACAGGCTAATACACATTTTTCTACTCTAAGGACACCTAGATTTGTGTCAAAAAAAAGCATAATATTGTATATTTCTCATCTGATGAGTCGAAAGAGCCTAAGATCTCACAGACAGGCAACTGTGTCTAGTCTTACAGGATAGCTCAATAAGAAAACACTCCCTGCTGACTGGAATTTTTCCAGATGACCTAAATTCACATGATGTAATAAGTCAATCAAAGGACCAATGAGAAACAGATAACAAAAACGTTGCTCCCTACATTTTTTGGTAACACCACGTACTGACTCACTTTAAATGGTAGGAATCAAGGCTATAACAATGGATCACAAACTCCGTAGCAAGGTAGGCTTCTTTTTGTTTTATGCATTATGCTGTATATAGTGGACTCTTTACAGATAAGTACTTTCGAGTTCATCAGTTCATTTGGTTCACCCTAAGTTCTCTGATTCCAATATATATAACCTATTAGAAAATCAAGCCTCAGAGAGTGAAAGTGACTTGCCCACAAACACAAATGTGTCATACCTCTAAGCAATTGCAAGGTCCTTCCACCAGGGAGACCTCCGCAATCTCCCCTATAACATGCTGCTTCCACACCTGATTCTCAAAGAGAAGCGAGAAAGAGTGAAGGCATCAGTATCACTGAGTCCTCAGCAGCTGGGAGTACAGGTCCTCCCACAGGCCCCACTGTGGCTGTCTGGCCAAGCTTCCTTCCAAAGCACCACAGCACCATGGGTACAAATCCTTATGAGGCTTAAGGTACACCACTACCTGTTAAATGTCTTCTAATTATTAATAAAAATGCTGATCTAAATGTTTTCCTTCAGATGGAAAATTCCAGAGGAATTGGGAAACATGTACATGATGGGAAGGAATTACCCTACTCAAGCATACTAACCCCTCTGCACATGGGTAGCTCAAGGAACAGTCTTGATTTGTATAAAAGCCAGCATAAAGCTGGCTATGGATTCACCAAGGATCAGGCAGACATTAAGGTCTTCAAAACATTCAAAGATTAGCTGTGGAGTGGTGGAACATTTCCACTCTGGAATTTCACCACTATTCCTCTCCAAATAATTCATGATATTTGAACACCTGAAAAGTCACTTTGGGGAAAACCTCAATGTCACATCATCTCATGTCTCATGTGCTCCTACGTCCAGTCAAAGCACTGCAAAGATTTGATTCCTGCCATCATTTTGTGTTAAATTAATAAAGTCCCAGGTCTCCAAGGAGTTCTCAAGTCACTATGCTGCACACTTGTACAGATCTGGCAGAGTAAAACTGGAACTGAGAAGGAAAAAAAAAAAAAGCCATTTAGAAAGCAAGCTAGAAAATCACCTCTGATTTGAGTCTATAGCTTTACTAATTAGAGATCAGCATTACTTCTTTTGGAATTGAGGGCTGAGGGTGGGCAGGGGTAGAGGGATGAACCTCTACTACGTTTAAGGGTAGAGCGGTAAGTTCCCAAGACATCAGTGCATCAACAAAGGGACGTTTGAATTAGAAAGTCCTACCATAACAATACTACTGTCTTCTTATACCCTGAACACAATCAACAACAGAATTAGAAACAAATTCCTAATATTTAATCTAGCCTCATTTAGGGTCATCAAGCTGAGTAATTAAACAGATTTTTGCTTCACAAAGCCTTTCTCATCTTTTCTGGCTGGAATACGGTGACACTGGCATCTGTACTTCTCTGAGCTGGCAGGATGATAATCTGTGTGCACAGCTTCTTCTCTCCCCACCTAGGCTAGAAAGTCACAGAAAGCAGAGATCATGGCTTTTATCTTATTTTTTATTTTTTGAAGCAGAGTCTTACTCTGTCACCTGGGTTGGAGTGTAGTGGCATGATCTCAACTCACTACAACCTCTGCCTCCTGGGTTCAAGTGATTCTCCTGCCTCAGCCTCCCGAGTAGCTGGAACTACAGGCAAGCACCACCATGCCTGGTTAATTTTTGTATTTTTAGTTGAGACAGGGTTTCATCATGTTGGCCAGCCTGGTCTCAAACTCCTGACCTCAGGTGATCTGCCTGCCTCAGCCTCCCAAAGTGCTGGGGTTACAGGCATGAGCCACCATGCCCAGGTCAAGCCACCGTGCCCAGCTTTGTATCTTTTACCACACTGGATAACATCTTCAGAAGTATGTTTTCTAAATGAATAATGAAAAAGGGCACTTTCCCTCCTACTTCTCCTCTGGTATCAAGTAATACGTATGTACATTTTTACCATTACCAAAGGCAATTCACTTGCTTCCAAATTGCACAGATACATCTCTCTCCCTGCTCCCCACATGTTAATGTACCTCTATTTATTCAACTAGTACATTCTGCTACAACTTTAAAGGAAAATTTTCAGCAGTTAGACAATATACATCTCTATGTTTTGCCTATTTTCTGCTATGTTTATTTCCCTAATAGTAAAATATTATAATTATTTTGGTTTAAGTAACTGAATTTCAATTTGTAATCTATTATTTTGTGTTGTAAACAAATGCTGTGTGACAGTTAATCTTATGTGTCAAATTGGCTATGCCACAGTACCCAGATATTTGGTCAAACACCAGTCTAGATGTTGCTACCAAGGTACTTTTTAGATGAGATCAACATTTAAATCAGCAGACTTTTGAGAAAAGTGGACTACCCTCCATAACGTGGGTAGGCTTCATTCAACCAGTTGAAGACCGTATGAGAAAACAGACTGAGATCCCCAGAGGAAGGGGGAATTCTATTACAAAACTACCTTCACACTCAAGCTGCAACATCATTTATTCCCTAGGTCTCCATTTGGCTGTGCAGATTTCGGACTTGTCAGGACCCAAATTTTCCTGGTAAGTTCCTTAAAATAAATTGCTCTCTCTGTCTCTGTTTTTCTCTCTCTTTTTTTTCTCTCTCTCTCTCCACACACACACACACATCCTATTTTCTGAAGAATGCTGTTTTAAATAAAGTCTACTGAAATCATAAAGTTAGTATCACACAGGTTGATAAATTACTAGATCTACATCTAATATTTGGTACATCAGATATTAAATAGAAAACCAGTAATTCGGACTGAAAGAATTAGAACTGTAAAATTACTATATTGATTTAAATTATTAAGAAGCTTATACCTTATACATGATGGCATATAGTTTTTATCACCACTTATCTCTTTAGAGCATATGTTTTTTAAACTGTAGAACTCACGAGAAAAGGTAGTGTACTTAAGGTTTTGATAACAAGTAATGCTAAAGACATTAAGTCTAAAATGTTCTATTCCAAAAAAAGTCCTTCAGTGAATGTGCTGAGCATATTTCACAGTCAGCTGCCTCAGTGACACAGAAGAAACCAGTGTTATTTCACTGAATTCCTGTGAAAAATAGTTACAACTGTGTTAAACTGTAAAAATAAGGAATAAAAATAAGGAGAGTGAAGAAGTAATGCACTAAAATATAGGACATGAAGTTGGGTGCAGAAAAGAAATCTACTATTACTTTTTTATTTCTATTTTAAGTCATAAAAGGCAACAATCAAGAAATAAAAACACTGGCAGTGTGAGATCTTACTAGTTACATCTTAAAAATCCACCTACCGCATTTGTATCACAGTGAAATTTATACTGGAATGTTTTCATTAAGGTCAATTTCTTAAGATACTGTGTGGCAACTTCCAAACCATATCCTGTCATCACTATATTACTAGTTTATGACAACCTGCATTTTGTTTTAAAAGATATTCTCATAAATATGCTATCTTTACATCACTCCTTTAAGAAATAAACAAGTTGATATTTCTTTTATGTATGACATATTCTTCGAAAGGCATTTTAATCCTCCCTTAATCAAAACGCTCTTAAATAACATAAACCTAATTTTAAAAATGCTGGCTTTGAACAGAAATCAGCAAGTATCCAGTTACGTATTTATTAACATAATAGTGTAAAAATCTTGCCTGGGAAGAATACTGCATAAAAATTACTAAGGTGTTAAAAATGACTGCATTATTGGAATGGCTGAACTTTGATTTATGTATCATGTTTCAGCAGTTTTAAGAATAAAAGGAATGACTGTTGCAACATTTTGACACATTAGATGTCATTACAAAACAACTGGAAACTTGCAGATGGAACACACAAACAGCATAAGCTTAGGCAATTACTGAGAAGCAATGAGTCTCCGCTGACAAAGAGCTGGATGCAGGCAGGACACAATAAATCATTATCCTTATTAACCCAACTCCAAAGTGTTCATATTCACAGTATAATAATTAACACGTCATGAGATTTCACACAAATATTTTGCCTAAGAACATCTCTGCTTCCAGTACTTTCATTCCAATAAAAATGCAGTACCTAGTTTTAACCTATTAAATGCCCCATAGGATAACTCAGGCAACAGGCACAGTCTATGCAAATATAAACTTGATTTTGCACAGATTATGTACATACTAATCAATCAGGCAATGAACATTATGATCTTAGAACCATCCATTTCCTTCAGTCAGGCACAGTGTAGATGTGGCTGTGCCATCTATAGATGCAATAAAGAGGCCATCTACTCACATGGCCTTGGTCATCCAGTTCATTGTTGGTGAGCTTCAGCTTGTCGAAGCTGATCACTTGTCTCATCCAAGTCTCCCCCGAGGCAGGCGAGTCTGGATGAATGTACACCCGGGGTGGCACAGGGGAGTCAGCATTACCTGCCACCATCCACTTTGAGCTGTGGTAAACATACCTAGAAGGCAATGACCAGGCATTCAGTATACTATTTGTACCTTGGAATGTCCAACTCAGTAGAATCAGACAAAATGTGTGCCTATTTTGTTTCAGGTTTAAAATAAATCAATTTCCTCTTTACACTAAAAATGAGATTTCAAGTGCTTTTCAAAACCTTTCTAAGGCAGCAGTGGCCTGCTGACAATTCAGACTAAGGGGCATGTTAAGGGCTTCGTGAAAAATATGTACACTATCACCACCATAAATGCAAGTATCTTCATTCTTATGAATGACACTTATTCACCCGTGACATTACAACTCTGATATTTTCCATTTTTCTTCTGAATATTCCATCAACATGAAAAAACAAATAGCTTGTAAAGCTCACCTTTAAGTAAATCTCAAAAATACTTGAGAGTTACATTTCAAAGTGTCCCACTTCCTTCAAGATTGCTTCCCATGTTAGACTATGTTCAGGCTTATGGAACAGACAGTAGAAAGGCAAGAGGAAATAGTCAGAAGTTCTAGAAACTTTTTTTTTAATAGGAAAAAATGTTTTATCTGTTATCATTTGGTATTTTTTGCAATACTATGACACTATATATTGAGGTATATATTGAGGACAAAGTATTTGGTTTAATTAGAACGTTCTGTATTATCTGTATTATCATAAAATGTAGGCCCTTATTCATCTCCTATATTTCTTTCCTGAGCCTTTTAAAAAAATTCTTTCAAATCATTTTCAAATATTACTAATCAAAAAATAAATCAAACTTTGAAAATAATGGTATATCTAATTAATATTACTTTTCTAATTAGGAAACAAAACATCCTATTCTATTTCTTTATATGACAAATATATTGACTCAGTAAGAATAAAACATTTAAATAACAATGCCTCAAGAAATATTAATATTTAACTATATTAAGATTACCATTTAATAATTTAAAATAAGCTAATTAAAAAATTAGAAACTAGTATAACAATGAAGGAAAAAATTATAAAATAAAATTCTATACTTAGATATTTTCCTTCCATTTATGTTAAGATTAGCATACAATTTAAAGTCGTAATTTGCAAATAGTCTCAGAAAAGTCTACCTGTGTTATATACACGTTTCTTTTTATGAGAGTATAAAATATTTCAGAACGTCTCTGATGAGGCCCTTTGTTTCAATTATCCGTCACATAGTTCATTTTGGGCTCAATACACCTTCTAGTCTTTCATTTCTTTTCTTGGGAAAAAAATATGTAATCATAAAATTAGGGATACTCTTTTAGAAATCTTCCTTTAGGCCAGGGACTGTGGCTTATGCCTGTAATCCAGCACTTTGGGAGGCTGAGGTAGGCGGATCATGAGTTCAGGAATTCGAGACCAGCCTGGTCAACATAGTGAGACCCCGTCTCTACTAAAAATACAAAATATTAGCCGGGCATGGTAGCAGGCACCTGTGATCCCAGCTATTGGGGAGGCTGAGGCAGGAGAATGGCTTGAACCTGGGAAGCGGAGGTTGCAGTGAGCCGAGATCACGCCATTGCACTCCAGCCTGGGCAACAGAGCAAGACTCCATCAAAAAAAAAAAAAAAAAAAAGAAAGAAAGAAAGAAAGAAAGAAAGAAAGAAAGAAAGAAACCTTTTTCTTTTAATTGGTATGATGTAATTTCAATAAGTTCCTAATTGTGGGCTTTTGTAAATATTAATTTTATATTCTAACAAGTGACAATAATTTTTAACTTGACCAAATACCACTCTAACATTAGAAAATGAGCCAAATTTTTTCCTAATGTTGCTGAAAACATTGATAAATGAAATGAAAATCTTAGAAATTCAAGAAAAATTACACTGTGGAAATGAATTGAGTTACTGCCAAAACAAATAGAGTAATATGCTCTAACAAAACCTTGAAAAAGTATGCAATTAGAATAGTCAAAACTCCACACCCACTGACAGAATAAAAGCTACAAGTTATACATTCTTTGTAAAACATTCTAAACACAAATAGTACAAATAAATTTCTTCCTGGGAAGCAATATAAGTGAAAACAAATTACGTTTTACAATTTGATCTTTTAAAACCTGGCATCATAATACTAATTTCTGAAATGTCTTTATTTCTATACAGTAAATTTGAATCAATTAAGTAAAATAAACCAACTGAAATGTAGGGAAAACATTGGGAAAACAAATAGGAGACAAACTTAGAAGAGAAAGAATAATTATTAAGCTTATTAAGAATTATATTATCTTCCTCAGCACAAAACCCCAGTTTAGAATATGGGTTTTAAATCAAGTATATTTAAATAATGAACTTTAATGTTTTCTAGCTTCTGTCATGTGGTAGATCATTTTAGCAAAACTCCCTAATGACTTATTTGATTAAAATAATATAACTTATACACAAAACAAATAATAAGACTGTCTTTTTTATTACCCCTTTTTGTAGTATTCCATATGTCCATGGACTAATTAAAATCTGTGTACTTTTAGTAGGCTATTTCGAAAAAGCAATTCCTTAAATTGCTGAAGTGATAAAAACCAAATCTGATTTTGTTTAAAAACGTATTAAAAGCTCTGTCCCATACAACAACAACAAAAAGTGAGAAATGAAGACAAGCAAAATTTAAAACAGTATCTTCTAATCTTCCAAACACACAAAACGTCCTTATTTAAATGTTAATGTGTTTAACGCTTCAGAAAAATATAAAGCATTGTCACTGAAAATTGCTGATTTGTTTTCTTGCAGGAAAAAAAAAAAGAGTAAAGACTGGTTTGAAACTGAAGAACGTGTATATTTTCAAAATTTACTTGATCTTTACATAAATACGTTCCCTTTCAAAATCCAAATATTAAAAGTTTTTAAAAGTTACTATAACACAAACCAAAAAAACAACAGAAAGGAAAAAATTTTTTACTAGTTTAGTGATGTCCTAATATTACAATAAATTATATGATTTTTATTTTTCTTACTTGTAGAAAACCTTAAATAATTTTCTGAAATTAAAAAACAGTCTACAAACATTGATGGTTTTGTATGTAACAAGATAAAGGAAATTTACATGACAAAAAGATCACGAAGAAATTATGACTTTCCATTTAATATAATTTATATCTGTAAACATTACATAACATTTCCTCTCAAAATTCGCATTGAAATGTAAGTCAATATAAAAGACACATTTAGTTTAGCAACACCAAATTATCCCCTTTTAGAAGTTCTCAATATTTGAAAACATTTCTGTGTCTACTAAAAACAAAACAAAAATTAAGTTTCCACATTTGCTGCAAGAAAAGGCACCATCTGGGCCGCTGGCACCCATGGGCGTTAAAGTACGGATCTGGAAATTCTACAGACTTCTGGAAACAAAGATCACAGTCCTCACAGATCAAACAGGCACTAGCCTGCAAAATCCTAGTGTTTTGTGTTTTTTTTTTTTTTATAGTTCAGTATCTAATCACTGTACCTGTATCTTTTGTTGTCCACTGGTACAATATCCATGGCAATGTAATATTGCTGGTGAGGATCTAATCCAGAGATCTTCACTCTCATTGCTGGAAACATGCGCCTATTTAAAAAGGTGAAGAGAAAGAGGGTTTGGGGTTTCTGGTTGTGACTAAGGATGGTGACTGAACAAGCAAAGAAACCTCTTGGATCTCTATTTTTAATATGGATAAATTTATAGTATTCACTTTGCCAATGTTAATTCAAGGAGTGGGGACATAGAACATATCAAAACTGATATTTTTAAATGTAATTTGTTACGCCCTGTGTACATGTGTTCTGTGTTTACTGAAATGTCAGTATAGCTAAAAGTAAAAGAATTTTACACTGAGGGAGTAATGGCGCAAAAGAAAGCATCTTATTTTTTAAACAAAATCAATAAGCATATTTACTTTAGTAATACAACTAATAAAATGTAACAAATGGTAGAAATACAAAATTTGGATCTCTGAAAGTGATAAAATACATTATAATGTGAAATTTTTAAAGGGTTATAAAAAACCACAAGGAGCCAATGTGCCATGCTATAACCAAACAATATGTTCTTTATTGAGACAGGACTTCCTGTCTGCAGCATGGTAAAGGTGAAGTGCAAAAGTTGCTTTAAATTTGAAAGGTATAGTAAAACTTCTTTATTGAAAGCAGAAACTAAACACAATGTATATTTACCAAATCATTTCTTCCCCCGCCATACCATGAAAATGTTTTCTTACTTAACCACATTTACTCAAAACTTTGCTAATTAAAACAGATGAAAATTTGCATTTATCCTGGCTTCCCAAAGATGTATATCAAAGGAGATGCTAGCGTAAATGCACCCATCGGTTTAAAAAGGCACAGCAGCAAAGAATACAACAGTAAATTAATGTATATAAGAAACAAATATAGCAGTTTGATTTTTTTAAAATCATCTAATGATTTACATTTAAGTCCCTTCCAAGGAAATCTAATTTTTGTTAATTTAACCTTTTAACAGAAATTTTAGTAGTTATTTACCAAATTTTTTTCTATAACAACCATGAAAGACTACTTCCAGAAAAAAATAAAGTCTATTACTCCTAACTAGGTATGAGAACAATTTAATACGCTGGCTGTTTTAGTGTTATTTCAGTGCACCTGTAAGATAAAGAGTAAAGGTCTTTAACTACATCCTTTATAAGACAACTATTGCTTTGTGTTGGTGAAGACTGAATTTGGATCATTAATAAAAGCTCTGTGAAAATGTAGAAGGTAGCATATGGATTCAATAAAATATGGTTTTTTTTTGTAATTTCTAATAAGTTTGGATACTTTTTATGCTATCCAGGTTTTTACCATGTGTACTCCCTGAAAGAGTTGTGTGTGCTTTTTAAAGTTCCGTTTAAGGAAGCTTATTATTCATAGATTTCATTGCACTAAATAAACTGAAAACTTAAAATGCAAATATTCATGTACCTACCTTAAATTAATATGATCTGCCCAACAAATCCATTTATTTTACTAACCAATGGATGGGCGAATTTCACACTTTTTAAAAAACCGATGTAAGTTTTTATTTAAAAAAAAATGTAAGTATTCCTTAGCAAATTCAGGCTGTGTTGGATTCCATTTAGGACAAAAAATAAATAAAATAAAATAACCAGCTACTCCATAAACAGGATGCTTTTTAAAAATCAGGGTAATTATTCTTGCACCTATACATAATTAAACATGTATTGTGGGTGAGTCCAGTGACTTTTCCTCCTAGTCTAATATGAAATAGCAGGACAGATCATGTTATCAAATTGCCAGGATATCTTCTGATAAAGAACCAATCTGCCTGGGAGTTTCAAATCTGAAAAAGCAAATCATAGTTTACTGGAGTAAACTGCTGTTTAAAAATAAAAGAGAAAAGGAAAAACAAAAAAGAATTTGTTTCCTAGTTCCAGAACTGACAACTAGAGCCTAAATAAATACCTGGACAAGGGTAAATACGACCTCAAATTTATAACCACCCTGAACCCAGAACATCAACCGCGACAGCTGTGGCATCAGCGGCGACAGTAATTTTCTTCCTGGCATTCAACCAGAGAGCAGTTGGACTGTGCACCGACTGCACTCGTGGTGGGTAGCCAAAGCTAGCCTCCAAAGTGAACCACGGTCTGGGGCCTTGTCCCGTTTGACCGAAAACGCTAACCAGAACCCCTGCGGAGCTGCAGTCCCTTCTTCCTGACTGAGCTAGAGGTGGCTGAAGACAGGGTCTGGAGTGGGGAGAGGCGTCCACGCCAGTTTGCCCTTTACCTGCCGGCCTTGGTGATGATCATCTCAGTGCCTATCTCATGAAAGCGCTTCCAAAGCTCGGCTCCCTGCAGATCCACCCGCGGGGCCTGCGGCGAGGGCAGAGGGGTCCCGGGCCGGGCCAGGGAGGGCGCCGGGGACCCCTTCGGGGAGCCTCCCGGTGACGCCAGAGGGGAAGCTCCCTGCTGGAAGCCGTCCTCACAGCCGCCTGGACAGCAAAGGAAGAGAGAGGGTACCGGTGAGGGAAACTGAGGGGAAGGCAGCCGCTGAGACGGGCCCACCAAGTGGCTGAGAAGGGGAAAATGACCGGGAGAAAAGGTGAAGCTTTGGTGCCATCGGATCCTCCTAAAGAACAAGCCAGTCGATAGACACCCACGCTGTGCCTGTCGAAGGGGCGCATTCGGGGCTCCAGTGTGGCCTGTTTGGTCCCCGAGAGTCCTGAGCCTGGGAGAGGCGCGCGGGCAGCGTCCATCCCACCCGCTGGGCCTCCGCAGGGTCAAGGCCCCAGCAGAAAAGGTTTCACGCCGCCGCCGGGGTCTGGGACGCTTGCCCGACGGAGTCAGAGGAGCTCCCGAGTCCAGAGTCCCCAGTGCAAACTCCGATGTAACCTGCGCCTCTAAGCGCACGCAGCAAAAGCGCCCGGACTCTGGTCCCAAGAGACTGGGCCTCCTTAAGCCATAGGCGTCTGCGGCGCCTCGTTTTGGGCCTCGTTTTGCGCCGGGCCGGAGGCATCTTCTAAAAGGCTCTGCAGACCCCGCTTTCGCCAAACTCCCGGCCGCCCTGCGCTTCCAGCCCAGCAGAGAACGTGTGAAAAGCAAGCCCGCGGTCGCCGTCGGCCTTGGCAGAGAAATCAAGAGAAGGGAAGGGAACCGCTCAACTACCCTCCGGGAAACCAAGTTTCCAAATACACCGCCCTCTTCCTGGTTTGCACAAACGGTTTAGGGCATTCGTTCCGGTTTCGGGGTGGGGTATGCCGTCGCTCCCCTCCTCCCCGCCCTGTGCTTTTAAAAGTTAGGAAAGAAAAAAGAGCACCCATTGGCTGGAACCCCAAGGGAGGCAGACGCAGGAAGCACACAGAGCTGCACCGCCAGACGCCGCAAACAGCCGCGGCCGAAGGCGCGGGTCGCCGAGTGGGCGGCGGCCGCCCGCGAGGCAAAGCTGGAAGCAGCATCTTAACTGTCTGGAGGGTGACCAGGTTGCTCGGCGAGCTTTGCGCCTGACACGGCCAATGCGCTCGCGGCTGAGTGGCCTTGGCCACGTAGGGACGCGGCGCACACGCACACCCACAGACTCGCAGAAGTTCAGGTTAGCGCCGGAGAGAAGTTAGGCAGAAAGGGGCCCACTCACCCGCGGCTCCGCGCTCCAGGTCTGCGCCACTCCGAGCCGGCCCAGACGCCGCCCCAGCCGGCGGCGGGAGCGCAGTGCCTTCGTCTCCCTCAGAAGGGCCCTTTTCGCCCGCGCCGCCGCCGCGGCTGCAGCCTCCGTCGTCCACGGCCCCCGCCGCCTCTTCGGCGCCCAGTTTTCGCCGCTTCTTCTGAAGCTGTTGCTGCTTCTCGGCGCCGATCAGCGCCTCCACGGAGAAAGCGTGCGCCTTGAGGCTTAGCATGCTGCACGGCGAGCCCCTTCGCTTCTCGGCCATCCCCCCCGCCCCGCGCCCGCCCGCCCCTCTCTCATATACACTCACGCGGGCACACGCGCGCTCTCGCTCTTCCCCTACCAAAAACTAATAGGCTCTCGGGGCCTCCCGAGATCTGCCCCCTTCCCCACCGCGGGCAAAAAACAGATTTGGCGTTTCCTCTTTCTCGCTTGTGTTGGGATCCGAGGAACCGGCGACGCGCCGGCCAAGTCTCCTTCCCTGGGTCTCTCGCGTGCTCTCTCACTGATGCACTCCTTTGCTCCCACCCCTTCCACCTCCTCCTGCTGCTCCGAGGTCTGCCTCAACTGATGCGCCAGAGAGGACTAACATGGGTAAAAAACACTCTGTGGACACAAATTAGGGATTGTAATTGAAATTTGTTGCCTTGATCTGTCAGCACTTCCAGGCAGGAGAGCGGTGGGAAGAACTTGCTCATTAGTGTCAATAAAGCGGCGGGGGCGGAGCCCGGGACCCTGTCCATCACTCAGACGGCCGGCCAATCGGGAGGCGCCGACTCCGCGCAGCCCGCGCCCACTTCCTTACAAGGTAGCGAAAAACCAGGAGTGAAAAGCGCCGCCGTCTGGCTTGGATGTGCCAGCCCCACGCGCGCTGAACTCGATCTGTCTCTCTGACGTCCATAGCTGAGTCCAGCCCCGTAGTCTCCAGTTTTCCTCACCAGGACCTGGAAAGGCGGAAGCTCCCGGCTTTAAACTAGACGTTCAACAAGTTATTATATCAAGAATCTTTCAAGGTTCCGTAATTGCCGTCCCACTTCCGTGTCACTTAATGTTGCTACAACTCAGAATATGGGGAAGCTGGGAAGAATTCGCAGGCCCCTCCTTCCTCATTTAAACGTTCCTGCTTTTGGCAGCACTCAATCTGCGCCAGATATGGCTTAGGCTTATTTAAATTTTACTCCGTGATTTTTTTCTTGGGGGATACCAGGTTAAGAAATATGTAAATTCTTTAGGAGTGTAAAATGTTACGTTAACTCTCAGTCCCTCATATAAATGTCAGAAAAAGCGCGCCCTTTCCGCAGCCCCGCTTTTCTTTCAAAGAGTGGTAGTTATTTTAAAACGTAGGTCATGAGATTTTCATTCTGTATGTCTTTAACGATATGGACAACTTTAAAACCCCTTAAAACTTCGCAAAATGAAATAAGTATAAAGACGCAATAAAATTCCCCATTTGAAAAACTTCTCTGTGATTTAACTAACTTTGTATTTGTCCTACTTTTGACAATTTACCATTGTTACTTCAGGCTTTTAAGGAGTCCACTGATATATTTAAAACAAATTTAATAAAATCAGTGATTTTTAATTAAATGACACCAAACATATATATGTACAATTTATTTTGTAGTTTCCACTCGACTTTTGTTAGGATTAACAAAACATATATATATGTTTGGTATAAATGGAGCAAATCTCTTGTGGAATAAAATTAAACATGCACATTACTCCATCTTTAGTATAAAATACACGGCAGGCCGGGCGCAGTGGCTCATGCCTGTGTTCCCAGCACTTTGAGAGGCCGAGGCGGGCGGATCACGAGGTCAAGAGATTGAGACCATCTTGGCCAACAGGGTGAAATCCCGTCTCTACTAAATAAGTAAATAAATAAATAAATAAATACAAAAATTATCTGGGCGTCGTGGTGCACACCTGTAGTCCCAGCTACTCAGGAGGCTGAGGCAGGAGAATCGCTTTAATTCGGGAGGCGGAGGTTTCAGTTAGCCGAGATCGCGCCACTGCACTCCAGCCTGGCGACAGAGCAAGACTCCGTGTCTGTGTCTCTCGCTCTTCTCTCTCTCTCTATATATATATACACACACACACACATATAATCCTTTGTCATATATATATGACATCTCTCTGTATATAATCCTTGGTCATATATATGACATATATATATATATATATATATATATATATATATATATATATGACAAAGGATGTTTTTCCTCTCCCTCGTCTCCCTTGTTTAATTCAATCTCCGCAACCGTTGGCTGCCCTTTTATCTCTGATTTCTCTGTAAGCTTTCAGTAGAGTAGTATTTGGGGGTAGATTCGCCACTGAGATTGATCCTTTTACTGTAGAAGAGAACGCGCGGTCCCTGGAGGCCGGACACCACAGCAGGGGCAGGAACCTGGCAGGCGATGAGCAGAGGCACGAGCAAGCCGCCCAGCCAAACCTGGCAGCCTTGAGGTCAAAAATGATTTTGTAATATCCTTGCGGAGGAAGCGTCCTCTAGACGCCTGAGAAACAAACTTAATTGGGAGGAGCTGTTTTGCATTTACAAAATGAAGGCTTTGCGACCGGTTTAGAGCTGTCTCGTCCCTGGTGGGTCTCCAAGCTCCGGGGTACCCTAGGCCGGTATTAGATCCTTAAAAAGAAACGCAAATTCCATTTCTGAAACTTAGCGGAAGGCGGGCGCCGGCGGGGAGAGCTGAGAGGCCGCCTAGAGAGTTTGGGCCAGGAGTGGGAGTGGGACAAGACAGGAGCTAACTCAGCAGGAGTAGACGCCCAAAGTTGCATTCAGCTAAGGTGCCCCGCCCCAATCCCAGGCTCTCCGGGACCCCAAGAAAGGAGCGACCCGGTGCTTCTCCGAGTGGTCCTTACAGCTTTAGAGACTCGTAGACGCTGCTGCCCAGGGGTAGAGTCGTCGGAGCCCTCGGGCCTGCTGGGGCTCAGCGGCCAGGGTAGGGGGAGCGGGAGAAACTGCCAGGGACAAACGCTGTTTGCTGACGCAAAGCCTATTCCGCAAAGAAGTTCTCCCTGTATATGTCCTGCAGCTCAAACTGATTTAGAAAGGGCTACACAGGCCTGCAAGGCACTCTCAGGATCATACAGCCTCACGCCCTCTTCTTTTCCTCTGCCATTTCTTTATTTTTTTCTCCTTCACCCTTGGCAGCAGACCCCAGAAGGGGCGGACACCTGGGGACTGGTGTCCGCACAGCCGAAAGGCTGGAAAGGAGGGCCTCGTCGACATCCACGATGTTTCTAGAATGTGGCCCTTAGAAATAATTCAAGTGCGAGTAGGGCACTGAAGACAGGACAAGGCGTTTGCCCCCTAGTCCTGGTACTGGCTAAGGAGAATCATAGCAGTAGAGCCACACCGCTGCTCCCCGCCGCCTCCGACTTGGGTAAAGTTCGGCTCAGGCTACTGGATTGAGCAGGACCAGCTAACCCAGGTCCCGAGGGGCAGTGTGTCACAGACTGCAGCCCACTCAGGCCTTGGCTTCTGGAGAAGGGGCGTCGAACCTAGCTTGGGCATGGGAGGGAAAGACATTCCGAGTTGACTGACGGGAGGAGTAGCAGCCTTGAGAGTGTTCACAGCAAAGCCTCCTCCTAGCAAGGCCTTTTACCAACAGCGTGGCACGCCCTTGCAAGGAAAGCGCCAGGCCCTCGCCCTTTGCAAGTCAAGAGAGCAAAGAAAGCAGGGACAGGTCACGTAATCTCCCGGGAAAATTCGGCTATATCCAGTCTCGCGTGTGCGCGTGTCTGGGTGTGCATGTGTGCGTGAGCGTGTGCACCTGCTCAAGTGTAAATGCGTCTGTTGGCAGTTGGGGTCTAAATACCTGAGAGTGTGTGTCTTCTGTTGCTTTAGGAGATAAAATGTCTTTTCCCAGTGTTGAGCTACATTGAGGAAACAAAACTGAAATCAACTGTCAGGCCTCTCTCAAGACCAACCGGATTCTATATTAAATAAAAGTCAGCCAGAGGAGAATATTGTCAGAATGAATCAGTCTCAGGGACTTGGGGAGAGAGGGAAGGGCAAAAGATCCTTGAGCTCCCAGATCTGGGACAATGGTATAGGGTGGAATCCATGTCCTGCAACACTAACTGGTGGGAGGGGGCGTGCAGGGCCAGGAGATGGACTTTTAAAAAGCATATCCGGTCTCTTCTTTATTTTTCTTGGTGCAGTTTAAAATTGGACAGTTCCGAAATAGTGTTTTTTGTTCTGTTTTGTTTTGTTTTTTAAAAAAATTCTGTCGGCTTCCACTCTGCTTTTTAGCCTGGAGCCTGTTTACCTAGCATTGACACATGGCCAGTTGTGTATAGTTTGCCATTTCATCTTACCTGATTTATAAGATACTTACATTTTATTTATAAACAATTGTTTCTTTTTAAGTTTTAAATGTTAAAGCTCTATGAGTCTGGTCTTCATTCTTTCTTTCGAAAGACTGAATTTTTTTTCTTTTACACTTGACACTGGCTGTATTTAACCCCTATATTTGATTTCTCAGACTTGATAAGGTAAGCCCTGATTCTGTTCAGACAAGAGTCTGTTCTTTGCCCCTGATCTCAGGGCACATCAAATGGTCCCCGAGTCTCCAAATAATCTGGACCCAGACTTCTTTGCCACACATAGAGAAGTTTATTATTAGTAAAAGATTAAGTGAGCTAGAAGCAGAAATGGGAGGGAGAGTAGGGGTGGGCAAGGGCCAAATCCAAACACCAAGAGGGGTACTTATTTGGCTGCGTTCCTCTATAGTTTAATCTGGGAAGGAGCCATAGCCTAATTGGGGACGTGAACTTCAGCCTCCGTTCTGAGTCACCAGGCAGCGCCGCACAAATGGGCTAGGGCTTCCCCTCTCTGCCATTCCCGTCCCTACTCTTTCCCACTCTTTCTTCTCTTCGCACATACTCTTCTCGCCTCTCCTTCTGATCTGGGTTAATGAAAATATTTTAACTTGTACAAGTTTATAAAGGCTATGGGAGTAAATTCAGTAGTCCCAGGGCTCAACGACTGCACTCTTGCGGATTTCTCTGCCGGGTCTGCAGCTGCAGCTGCAAACCCAGGCCCCGTGAAGAAAGGGATCCGGAGCTGCAATTCCTCCCTGCTCACTCCTGTGGCTAACTTGCACACGCCGACATCGCCTACCCACTTGCTGGCGACTGTTTTCCATTCTTCACCCTGAACAATTCGTCCTTCTCAATTCCGATTAGCTGAGACTGAGGCCCTCTACAAAGGACCTATGCAGCTCACGGAAGAACTCCACAGTTCTCAGGTAGAAGAATCAGAATCAGGTCTGAGCCCGCGAAGTTTCTCTTTGAGCGCTTTTTTTTTTTTTTTTTTAATCAATGATCATTTCTCATTGGGGTTCCAGGGAGGTGCGCGGTTTCTGGAGTGTGGAATGAAGACTATACTCCCAGGGTAAGCTTGTCTTCATTCCTCTCTCCCTCCAACCGCCCCCCACCCCTACACACCCAGTTTTCCAACTTGGAGAAAGGAAGGGGAGAAGGGGGCTTTTGGTCCACCAAGTCGAGGGATATTGAGGAAGTAACGAATCTGTAATGCGTCCAGAAGAAAATTCACCCTCTGCGAGAATAAGCTTCCGTATTCATGCATGGCCTATCTCCAGCGGTATCTGCTTTACCTCCAAACTACACTGCAATTATTTTTTTTTCACCCCGTGGGTGAAAAACCGCTACCCTATCTCCCTCATTTATTGACTCACACCCCTCCCACAACACTACAGTGTTGAGGGATCAGTAACAGAAATGTTCAAGAAGGCCACACTTGTCTCTATCA